TTTACCTTGTTGCTGATACAGTGCTTCTTCGCACGCTAGTTTTAATATTACCATCATTCAACATTTACCAATTATCAGCACCATTTTTGACTATAAATGCTGTGGACCTAATTAGTAGGAGGCTATGAACAAAAATTGATATCGTTGTCATGACGATTCATATTTTGTTTTCATATTATCATGGCCTACCACATTTGAAAATGTAGGACAGTTCATCAAATGATGGTTTTTCACTGTTTTTGCACTGTTTTATGTGACAATATCGATGTTAAGAAAAACTCAAGTTGCATGATGAATTTCTGAACATAATGAAGATGGAATCTTTCTGACAATTTCAACTTCTTTTTTATGACTAATTATGTGTTCACGCAGAATTTATGATTTCTTCCTCAAATATTAGACAAGAAAATATTATATAAAAAGAAAATCCGTAATTTTCAGGTTTTTCAAAATATTTCAGAAAAGGCTGAAGTTTTTCAGTTTTCAAGACGGCATTTTGAAGAGGTTCAAATTACGCACCTTCTTCTAATTCCATCAACTTTCTATCTCTTACCGTTCAGGGAATACCAATACTGTCCCTATGAAATATGCAGGACCATGTACAGGTAATCACCCAGATAGTAAGAGTGTGAAACTTCTGATCAATAAAAATATTGAGCTATTCAAGAACATTGATTCTCAAGTACATGATCTCATCGTTGAGACAACTAGATCGGGTAATTTCTAAAAACAGACGAATCAATTACAGAATCACTTGTAATAGCTTTTTGTAAAAAACACGCGAGAAGTTGCTGGAAGCTAAACGTTCACAAAACGACAAAGTAAATGTTTAAGTAGCCTGTGGAATATCAGCTAATAGCCAAACCGCATCTAATTATGGTCAATTATTCGATTTTATGCTGACACCTACAAATTACTTCATTCGTGACACTGAACGTGAAGGTTGGAATTAATACTTTTTCCAAAGACCACCATGATAATGAGAATGGATTGACAGCTGACAAGCACAGTCAGACACATTGCGGTGGTTTTGTAGAAAAATTTATGTGCATAATTCGCTCGAAAGAGAGACATCCTCGTCATGGAAATGAATAATGATCAATAGTACTCAAACTTCATTTAAGTTTGTAAAGTATCACTGATTTTGTCGTGTCAACCCCTTATAACTCCTATTTTTCACAGTAGAAATCAACAGATACATATTCACTGTCAGAACAAATTTAAATGGAGCACACCCTATATGTTTCCTCACCTTGGAAAACCCACTCGAAGAGTTATCCAGAAATACCCCATTTGATATAATCATTTCTCAATGTATGGGCATTCAAAACTAACACGGTTTGATCGATTTTTGAACGAATTTCGAGAAAAAGTCATGATAATAAAGCCGAAATTCGGGAAATTCAGAGAATGAAATATATTGAGTAGGATATTTTCGGAATTTGAAACAAAAATTGAAAGTCACTTCCGGTTTGACTCAACTTTTTTATTTCAAATAGCACCCTGTATATTTTTTTCAATTTTTGATTTCTACTCAAATTTACCGTTCCAGCGATGTATCTGACTTCGTATTTTGAATTCGATTTGATGGAGAAAACAACAATTGAAATTTCAAATTGAACGAATTGCAGTAGGCTACGATTTGTTATCTTGATTTTGACTTCAATAATAACTTCAAATTATTAGAATTGTAGTAGATCATGTAATTTTCCCATTTTCATCTTTCGAAATGGCTGAGATAATCTTTTGGAACAGGTATACTGGGACACCCGGTATATTGGGAAAAATATATTCTACCGATTCCTAACAGAAATACAGGGCATTATTTGAATTCGGGGCGAAACTTTGAAGAACGATATTTCAGGAACGTCTGAAATTCACCAGCAACTCATTTTCTATCTGAATGTCTGGAGACAACACAACCTGGAGCTGAAATCTACTACTTATTTCTCTTGTATAATAAATAACTATGTTGTCTATTTATTTCCAGTTTTTTGTCGGACTTTGTTGAAAAACCCATCTTGAACATTCTGTATGATGAATTTGACGAGTGAAAGGAGGAATCCACATCTCATGACGTTTCTCATGACAAACAAAAATATTCGTAGGTAATATTGTCAAATAATTATGGTTTCCAAAATAGTTCAATGAAATTGATGCAATATTAATAATTCAATAGTGAGAGTGCGAACAATCAATGTTAGTCGGTTTAGGTTTTTGAGAAAAAAACATCGCAAATTCCAAAATGAGTGGTGAATATTATAGTACAGAGGAGCCGGCCTCTAAATTTTTCAAGGGTAAGTCGATTGTATCCGATTTTCACAATGAAAAGCTTTTTGGGTAAAACTACATTCATCATACGATGGGTTTTTTTTTTCGAAAATTATTTTTGGTACGTACGTATTTTTGTCTGAAAAACATGAATTTGATAATGAAAATGTGAACAAACTATTTATCGAGATATTTCAATGTGTTGGATACATACATACATTTATACTTGCTCTTCGTATTTTCTCATTGGACACTTTATATACTCAGGATGAACTTCAATAACACTTTTTCATAAAGATTTTGAATCACACATGCCATTATTTTAAATGATATTCTTTCTTCTTTTCACTAAACATGGATAAATCAGAAGAAAATCATATTTCTAGTTGACTCATATAAAAGAAATTGTCCAATGATGAAAAAAGGAGGGCAAATTGATCTAAATGCGATCCAGAAGACAGGCGGAAAAGAAGGTGAAATTTGTAACTTTATAGTGAAATATCCTAATAAATAATGGTTTGTTCACATTTTCATTATCAGATTAGCGTTTTTCAGACAAAAATACGTAAGTACCAAAAAAACAATTCGAAAAAAAATCATCGCATGATAAATGCAGTTTTACCGCTTTTTGGACTTCTGCAAAACGAAATAAGAAACGAAATCTCTTTGTCTTACCGTACAAGATCCAAGATAATACAATGCATGGAAGGATCAAACAAAAATGCTGACATAAAAAATTCGATTGACTCACTTGATACAATTCCTATAAGGAAAATGAGAAATCCATTTCAAGGATCTCAAAACAATTTTTTCCATGATGTTTTATACCCACTTCTATATATTTCCAGCATTCTTCCGTGATTATGATCAATCATTTTCATGGGAAATACGCGACCTTAAAAAATATTCTCTCAATATTACGTAGGCACATAATATATATTGAACACCGTTAATAAATCTCTTATACATCGATTTGAATTAATCAATTATTCAATTCCGATCAAACGTGCAATACATACTTGATTTATCTTACCGCCAAAAGTAATTCGAAATATCTGCTTACATACGAAGCATAATTTTCACCATACATTATTGATTATCTAATTCAAATACTTCGCCTTTTTAATTCGTTAATATTCACACATTTTCATTCCGATAACAATTTGGATTATTCAATTTTTTTTCCGGACAGCTTATTACAAGGTGCATATAATAAATTCTATGAATTTATAAATTCAATTGTTTGGAAAATATTATGACATTTGAAATGCTTTATGGCGATAATAACAAGATTTATTGGAATAATTCGATGTGACATTTAGATAAGTAGAAACTCAACACCGAAACACGTTTTTCAAGGATCACTTCAGTAGATGAGGATAAAATGGTTCAGTTCCTAAGCTTATTGATCTATACAGGGTGTAATTGATGGCTGAAAATATAGGACATGGTTTCTTAGCTCTTTTTGGGAAAAAGTTTATATGAACATATTCCCTAAACTTCTCAACTTTTGAACTATAGGGTGTTAATATTTCATTTTCTCTTTATTGATTAAAGAAACTTTCACAATGTGAAAAAACTGTCACGTTTTTGAATATTTGTCAAAATAAGACTGCAACGTAATCGAGCAAATGTCACTATTTCACATACAAAACATGGCATTAGCCTACTAGTTCAAAATAATTTCGTTAAAAAAATCAGGATATCAAATTGTTGCAAAAAAATTAGAATTTAAAAGATTTTTATTCTCAAAGGCGTACAATATTTTTTTCAAAGAATCTCCAGGATACATCCCTTACGTACGCCACTGGTGGAGGTAATAAAAAATCTTCTGCATCGAATTTCATGAAAATATCTAGAAGTTGAAGTTATCATAAGAAAACGATTTTTTTCTTAAAATTTCAACACCCTATAGGTCGAAAGTTGAGAGGGTTAAGACATATGTTCATATTATTGTTTATTGTTTATTGAAAAACTAGCTTCCAGTCAGAAATAAAATTCTGGCATGAGGAAGTTGATTACAAACAACAATAATAAAATAATATAAGGTGACAACAACAACAATAAAAATCTGAAAAATAATAATAAAAATAGCCACAGGGACTAATCAGTAGATGGCAAAGTATCAATTTTATCCATTTCGTAATGAAATCATGTGTTTTTTTAATTCAATTTTAAATTTTGAAATGTCTGCAATTTTTTATATTATGTGGTAATTTATTAGATTCAGCTAGAGCAGCGTGAGTAAATTTTTTTTGGCCAATTATAGAAGTAGCAGAATCAAGATGAAATAAGTTTAATTGTCTCGTGTGATATTGACCATGAATTTCTGAGTTTCAAAATGAGCAATATACGGAACCATATCCTTTGTTTTCAGACATCAATTAAAGTACACCCTGTCTATAGCTCTCATATGATAATGAAATATTTTTTCAAATGGACTTTTCGATATATTAAATAATATCTATATACGAAAAATGAACAAATATCTGAGACTATTACCAAGAACTAGACCATGGGTCTCTAGATATTTTTGAAGAAAAATCATGTTCATCCATCATGTGAACAACACAAATTCCGCAGAATTTTTGAAATTTCACGAATAATTGGATCAGAATGTTTTTAATCTTTTCAATTTTGGAAATCTTATTATTTTTGATGATTTTCAGAATGCGAAAACCTTTCTCCAAAATCACTTTCAAATAGAGACGGATCTGATCAAGGTCATCAAGGCAAAGGCCACCGACTTCATGGTAAGAGATTGTTAATAAAAATGTTGTATTTTCTCTCAAACAGGAATCTCATTTCAAGATCAGACTAATTGCGTTGAAATGATTACGTTTCCAGAAAATATATTTATTTCAAAAAATGCCATCAGTTTCTAGTTTTCACACTCTCAGATGGACACAAAGTACTAGCAGAATCCTTCAGCAGCGGCCTCTTCATCATCTGGTTCACCTTCGAGCAAAAACTCTCAAAAGAATAAGACTTGTCAAAGGTATCTCTGGCCATGTCTCCCAAAAACACCTGCAGGTGTGGGCTCACTATGAGCTTCTTCATCGCAATGGCAAACATCCTCGGTTCAGGATCAATAATCACCCCCGACAATCTATGCACCAGAATCTTCGATGCTATCCCCTTGTTGGTCGCCACTATCGGCTTGCCCAAACTCATCGCCTTGAGCAGAAAGTCAGAATGCACGTCGTTTTTGGCCGGATGGATCATTACCGTGGACTCCATAATCAAGGTTTTCTCATGGACTATTGGTAACTGCTTGAGGAAGGTCACTTGGGAAGCGCAGATCCGCTGCTTGGCAGCTGCCATCATCTCGTTGTAATGAAACTTCTCTTCAAGAGTCTTGCAGTTTCCTGCTATAACCAGCTGGAACCTCTTGGTCACTGTTTTGTCGTCGATGACCTCTAGCAGCAGCTCGAAAGCATCCAGAGCTAGCTTGAAATTCGAAGACCTCTTGAACTTCCCAATAGTCAAAAACAGCACCGTGTTGTCCATCAAATCCGGAATGATCCTGTGAATTTTGATTCCAGGCTCATTCCACAAGCCGATGTCGATGGATGGGTACAAGACTTTAGGCTTCACGTTCAGAGACGGATAAGACTTCTTCAGTATCTCGCAGAACCCTATCGTCTCCACTATAATCTCGTCAGCTAGTTTCACCCATTTCGCTTCGAGTAGTGTCGGATTGTTCTTGGAATGTTCGTAGCAGGCGTCAGTGTTCTTCAGCTCCAAGAACGTTTCCACGTAAAAAACCTTGTACTTGGTGAAGAGTTTCAGGAAATACAGGGCGAACAGACTCACGTCTAGTACGACGAGTTCTGGTTTCGGTTCGGGCGGGAAGCAGATCAGTCTGAAAGCCATCCAGGCTGCTTTGAAAGCAGACATGTTGCTCCTGAACAGGCCCAAGAAACTCCTGGGGATCCACCATCCCGAATAGAGGACGCTCACGCTATCTGCGAACTTGACATCACCGATGCAGTCGTGCTTGTCGTATTGCGAAGTTAGAATTGTAACTTTGTATCCGAGTTTGTGGTAGGCCAAAGCAATATTGAGGATGTACCTGTCGGTCTTTCTTTTCATCAGCTTCTCGTGGATTATCAGCACGTGCGACTGGTCTGTCGGTCTCTCAAAAATGTGAGTTTCGATTTCTGTATTTTGCTCGCCGTCCATTTGAGAAAATTTCACGTGAAAAACAGTATTGAAATGAGCATTTTGACAGGTTGACTTAACAAACGTCAAACCCATTAGTCTCATACAGGGTATTTGCGAAATATATTTTTTCACAGATATCGAAGAGCAGCTCGAAATGGCCGAGAATCGTTGCAACACCCTTAAGGATCAACTGGATTACATGAAACAGATATACGGCGTTAAGAAGAATATCGCGAAGTCTAGGAAGATCTCAAACACATCACCGATCAGAAAAATGTCGGGTCAGTACACTGAAATTTGAAATGTTCAAGCACAATAATCACTAATATAACAATGGAAGAAATATCGAAACCCCACTTTAATACTATGAAGTTCTATAAGAGATTATTAATAACTTTTCAAAAATGCCCATTTTCAAAGAACACCTTGTAACTCCGAAACAAACACAGATATCGATATGCGGTTTTCACCATTGAGTTTTGCATGAAAATTGACCCTCAGGTACCGATATCAGTTTTCTTCCATGTAGTTGGAGAAAAGGACTATCCCTTTGAAAGTAACGAATTTGGCCCACCCTGTACACTGTTTTGACATGCCTTTGGAACATAGCATTTCGTTATCAGATGACGATCGAAATTTGAAACGTTTTCATGTTAATATTTTATTTCAATTGCATATTGAAGTTCTTGTTATGTATGTTTAGATGATGATTTGACGACATCATCGGCCTCAATAGCATCTGGCGATACCAGAGTTTTACCTAAAAGACAAAACTCAAATTCCATCGGTACTGATAACACTGGAGCTGCAGTCAGGACCATCAATAACATATTAAACGGTATAACGGAATCCGTAAACAGGCTTTCAGAACTCCACGTTCAAGTCGCCGAAACTCCCAGAAGCAAAAGAGATTTACCTTCACTCTCACCACGTAAGAATAAAAACAATACAAAAGATAATATAAAACATATGACATATGAATGTTGAAATCCAAGTTCCTGAAATTCCACATCGAATGGTAGGTACTGACGCTTTCCTTTTCAGATGTTGTTCAGATCCACGCTACGAATTCGATCCAAACTCCATCTCAGAAAGAGTTCGCGATCTCAGAAGTCCCAAGCGCCGTCAGAGCATCAGGAATTAGTAACAAATCGAAAAACATCAAAAGAAAACTAAAGGAGTCGAAATTGGCCACCAGAAAGCTCGGTTCCAGTCAGTCGGTCAAAAGGTCCGTGAAAGTCGATAAAAAGACCAAATTGAACGTAAAAAAGGAACTAGTAGTAGAGAAACTACCTTCTTCCACGGTGGCTACGAGAAGAGATGTTTACAGACCCATCAAAGTTAAAGCTCCAGGTAAGCATGTAAATACCTCAATGTATAAGTCAGTAATAACAATATTTTCTCCGCCATTGTGGTAATCTACTGAAAAGGTACTCAAGTTCAATTAATCTGATTCGTAGATAAGCTGGTTGAGATATACCACAACAAAGAAGCTAGAAACAGCGATTCAGATGAAGGTCAAAACACCAGAACCAAAGCAAAGTTATCAGAAGTAACCTCAGAAGACATCCCTCCGCTTGATATTCCTAACCAGTTTGTGGTTCGCAAAAACTCCGTGTCTCATAGTGGATACAACAATAGTTCGGCAATGGGAGATAATTTAGAATCTGAGGGTTGCTTCGACCCTCCTGAAGCTCCAAGGGCTTTGCAGAGTTACTATAAGAACTACGAATTGCCCACTATAGCTTCAAGAATGAAGCAAGTTGCAAAATCATATTTGCACACCTTCAACTTTAAGGTATCTTCTTAGATTATATGAGATTTCGTAAAAATAGTTTCAAGATGAATATTGCAATTCGATAATTTTTTTCAGGCAATACCATTTTGTGCAGCCATTTCTACAAGCCCCAGTCACAACATCGGGATAAACATTCAACAGGTGATGAACATCATCAAAAATAGGCAAACTGTCAACGGGATTTCCCCTACGTTGGCACATAACATTGGCCTAGCTGCTGAAAGGATCCACAGCAGACCGCTATCGGCTTTGGTATCGACAATCAACTCCAAAACAAGGTAGGCTGCACAGAAAAATCATTAATGTTCATCGATAGTTTATTCATGTATTCATGTATCATAGCTCTGAGACTCCTTTGGTTATGGCCATTCTCCAACGTTCAATATCTAGGCCAAACCTGACCGCCAACAGCTTCTTGAGATGGACTTTGCCCGTTGTAGTAGTTCCTCATGTTATGATATTTCTTCAGTTAGTTAACATCATGGTGCCATATCTGGACCTCAAATTGAAACAAATCCAATATTTTGGTATCCTTGTGATGATTCCTGATGTTGAGAGCATTCTTTTCCAATTACTTTGTGATCTCAGTTTCCCCAACTTTAACTACTAGCAATTCCTGCACATGAACTGCAAGTCCACATGACCACCATACTTGTAATGATTTCACACATCCTGGGGCTTCCTCTTCATCCCACGGTCCCCAACTTGAACCACCAGCAACTCTGGCACATGACCTGTCATTGAAACGACCTATCATGTCCCATTGCTGCATCTTCAGAGTCATCAATTTTCAACTACTAGCATCTCTGGCACATGAACTGGTAGAGCAACTCCACTTGACCTAGCATCCTTGTAATAATGTCTCATCCTGAGGCTTCCTTTTCATCCCTTGCTCCCAAACTTAAACCATCAGCAACTATGACTCTTTATGTACCAATGCTTCATCTCCAGTTACAGACCCTCCCAGTGCCCCCTCTCCAAACCGAACCCAAACTACCAGCACCTCCAGGTCATGACCAAGGGCATTCTCAAAGATAATTCCTTATGTTCGAGCTTTACTTTTCAGTTACTTTTCATCTCAGAGTCTTCGACTACAACTACTAGCAACTCTGACACGTGAACTGGTAGAGCACTCCACTTGACCTAATAGCCTTGTAATATTGTCTCACATCCTGAGGCTTCCTTTTCTTCCCTTCCATGTTCCAATGCTTCATCTCCAGTTATAGACCCTCCCAGTGCCTCCTCTCCAAGCCGAACCTCAACTACCAGCACCTCCAGGTCATGACCAAGGGCATTCTCGAGGATGATTCCTTAAGTTCGAGCATTATTTCTCAGTTACTTTCCATCTCAGAGTCTTCGACTTCAACTACTAGCAACTCTGGCACGTGAACTAGTAGAGCACTCCACTTGACGTAGTATCCTTGTAATATTGTCTCACATCCTGAGGCTTCCTTCTTCATCCCTTCCATATTCCAATGCTTCATCTACAGTTATAGACCCTCCTAGTGCCCCCTCTCCAAACCGAAACTCAACTACCAGCACCTCCAGGACATGGCCAAGAGCATTCCTAAAGATAATTCCTTATGTTCGAGCGTTATTTTTCAGTTACTTTCCATCTCAGTCTTCGACTTCAACTACTAGCACATGAACTGGTAGAGCACTACACTTGACTCACATCATGAGGCTTCCTTCTCATACCTTCCATGTACCAATGCTTCTTCTCCAGTTACAGACCCTCCCAGTGCCCCCTCTCCAAACCTAACCTCAACTACCAGCACCTCCAAGACATGGCCAAGGGCATTCCCGAAGAAACGGCCGAGGAGATCGAGGGCGAGATAGACTCGCCGCAGACCAAGACCGTCATCATCACCGGTCCTTCCGGCGATATGGAGGTGCGTACCAAGAACATTCCCTCGTGGACTGCGGACTCTTCGACTGCAGAGCGGTGCACGTGCGTCAGTCAAGCTGGCATCGAATTCCAACAGGTCGCCAGCAAGTACAGGAGGAACGGAACGGCCATGACTTCGATAACTACGGTGTCACAAGTGAGCGAAAGAAATTGTTTCAGCCCCTTCGTCTTTCTTCCTTCGTCTTCGTTTCTCATCTACCAGGACCTTAGTATTGTTGTACTTACTAGAACCAGTAATCAGTTGCTAGGAGTTTGTTCTCTGAACACCGGGTGCCACAGTCTCATGGCATACACCCCTTTTCTCCTGTTTCTCTAGCTATATTTCTGAAATTTGGAACATCGCATGTGCTCACTAGAGGGCACTTTCTCGCATTCCAGGTTTTTTTTCAGTTTCCGGTTTTTCTGGAATCAACAACAACTTTCAATTTTCAAATAGAACACCCTATATTTCATTCCATAATCGGTTAGAGATTACTATAATGAATTCAACGGTACCGGGTACAACGATTACGAAGATATTTGCGTTCGAAGTTTCCATATGCTCAACCGATTATGGAATGAAATATAGGGTGTTCAATTTGGAAATCGAAAGTTGATGTCATTTCCAGGAAAACCGAAGTTGTCGAAGTTTCGAATTTCAGAAATATAGCTAGAAAAACAAAGGAGAAAAAGGGGTATACCATGAGTCAGTGTCATTTTTGGTAACTCTACCAGGCAAACTGTATCAAAATACTCTCTTCTTAAAAAATACAATGTTTTTTGGAGCGCTAAATGTGGATCAGAAGTTATCCCCAACAAAATTGCCTGGTGCGTTGAAATGTTCATGAAAGGTTTGCGTTGTAGCAAAAAACATACGATTTTCAAAGTAGACTAAATTTTCCATAATTTGAATCTAACCGCAGTAATTCAGGTCTAACAATCATAATCTAACATATAAAACATGAATGAAGTGAATTCATTAAAGAACCGCGAAGTTACTCTACTTCTGACAATTTTTCTCGTAAGAGCAGCATTTTTTTCCAATATGTAGCTCAAAACTTGACACAAAACGTAAAATTTCACTGGATGGACCCATTATTTGAGATTGGATTCTAATTATGGCAAATTCAATCTAATCTGAGACAGATAGTTGTTTTTTTGCTACCACACATGCTTTCAGAAACTTTAAGCGTAAAACCAAATATCTCAAAACGCATAAGAAAATGTAGTTGGATAATAATTATAGATTGGGATCAGGACCCCGAAAAACATGAAACCGACCACTGAATTTTTTGAAGTGAAACTACCATTTGCCTCTATTCATTATTTTGTAGAGCGACAAACATCAGTCGAAGCAGAAAAAGATGAAATCAAGATTGCTTCCTAAAAGACCATGCTCAGAATCAA